GGTCGTTTCCACAGGCGGGCCTGTTAAACCATAGAAACAGCACTAAGGGCCGTGAAAGCGGCACAAAACCCCTCACGGTTCCCCCGGGGGCGGCCCCGCTACGGCCCGCCGCGCTCGGCAAGGCCGGAAGGGCCACACCGGGCCCGTCCGGCCTTGCCGAGCGCGGCGGGCGGTACCGGGGCCGCCGCCGAGGCCATGAATGGAAGCCTGCCTTTATCCACCGGAGCTCCCTCACACCGCCCCGGCCCCGCCAACCCACCTGCCGGGGCCTCCCCGGCCGCTTTCCCGCCTGGGCCGGGCCGCGGCCTGTCAAAGGGGCGGAAGCCGGGAGCTTTCCTGAGGGGCGTGCCCGGGGCGGCCTGAGGGGAGGCGGGCCTGAGGAGGGAGAAGCAGCGGCGGAGCTTCGCTGCCGCTCTTCGGGTTGGAAAGCCTTCTTTTACCTGCCAGCTCGCTCTGTAGATGGCGGTGGTCTGCAACCGCGTTGATTTACAGCCTTTTTTTTTTTTTTTTTTTTCCCTGAGCTCGCTTTATTTGGTTTTCTGGACCCCAGATCCTCCTCAGGCCGTCTTTGAACTCCCCCTGCTTTTCAGCGTCCCCTCACACGCTCCTTGCTGTTTTGTATTAACGATGCTCAGAAAAATAAAGGGGTGGATATACATTCTGGTGAATACGAATGGCCACAAGCTGGCTTTAGAGAGAGCTGCGTTAATTACTCTCCATTAATTACTCCCTCAGTTCCTTGAGGAACGAGTATCTGGCCTGCAGAAAAAAATTCTTGGCTTCAGCTTTTAACCGGATGGTCAAAATGCCATTTTCTGGAGACGTGCAGTCAGGGCTGTTCATTCATAAACAAGCATTTGCATGAAGGGTACGAGGAAAAATCTGATGGATCAAAATGGATTTATTCTCATTTGTATGGTAAAATACTGATTCTAGGCTAGCACCAGCTGGGAGCCAGCCACGCAGAGGAGCACTTAGTTTCCACCCCGTTCATAAATTTGCAGGAAAAAGGATAAATTACTGAACTGACTAAAATTCTAGGAGACATCAACAGCTTTGGAGGTGCAACATGTGTATGAGTGGCTAAAGGTGGCCTTATGGAGGCAGAAATGGGGACTAACAGTCCAGTGGTGAGCTGACATGTGAGGAAGCCAGATAAAAATCTTTGATGTTCCAGTAAACCCTGAATTGAAGCCAGAATATCCAAATTTTACTGTTCCTGTTTAATAAGAATGGAGCAAATTCAGAGTCTGTTACACAACAGTCATTCTTTTTGACCGTGAAGAAAGAGCTAATGTACTTTGGAACCCAAAGCGAGACTGAGAATGCAATGAAAAGCCCTTCAGTCATTGTTGTGAAGCATGATAGCACTGCTACTTTAGTGGTGTAAAAAAGAAAGAGGAGCATGCATACATCTAAAAGTTACTGATAGTGTAATTAGAGATCTCTGTATGTTCAAGAGTTAGGATTCCTTAGATGTTACCTGCTGGCTGCATGAATGCTTTTCACTCCAGTCTGAAATCAGCAGTTTGTGATATTAGCAAAGGTGACAAGAGAAGTTTTTAAAAAATCATTAACAATGTTGAGTGTTTCTGAAAGAGCGTCTTGGACTTCCTCACTTGCATGGTTCACGTCCCAGCTTTAATGTGGTATTAATATAAGAAAGGAAGACCAAGAAAGTGCGTGAAAATGAAGATAACCAACCATCAAAGTGGGCTTTCAGCAAATTCTGAAAATTAAAGGAGAAACTAAGCAAGAATGAGAGATGCGGGAAGTATTTCCTGGGGTCAGACTAGTTCAGCTCTGCAGACTTTCTCCTGTGGGAGTCTGTGGGACAGGCACTCTCAGGAATGCTGGCTTCTTTGACAGCAGATCTATTTCATGCCCAAAGGAAGTATTTAAAGCTTTTAGCACCTGAGGAATGCGAATTGCTCCAAGCTACAGCATATGCCATGTTCTTCATTTGTCCAATAACTTCACTGTTACAGAATCAACACCTAAAATAGCCTCCTGTAAAAGCTGATCCATTTGGGAAGATTAAAGTTTCCCTCTCTACTGGGCAAATTTTTATTTTTTTATTTTGTTTTTAATGGGAGAGGAATGACTTGGAATCCGTTGTTAGAAAATATGGCTTTTGGAGACCCAGGGGTCCAGCGCACACTGCATGCATACAGCGCGCTGGGCTTTTCTTGGAGCAAAAACTGTGTTTGCAGAGTGGTTCCCTGCAGCTTCCAGGGTATGCAGACTGCTGACTTACCAGCCTTTTACAGTGAAGGACAGCCGATCAGCATAGAGGCAGAAGAAAGCAGAAGGGACAGATTGTCAAGTTTTCTTTGTGTAAGGTACCAAATCTGCTGAAAGCCTCCTCTGGCCTCTTAGAGAGAGCCATGGAGGCAGTTTGCCACCGATGGCCATTGCCTGGCCACTTCACATGGCCACGCTGCTCTTGCCAGCATTCACAAGACAGCTGCAACACTTCATGAGCCAGCTATTGAAGAATTCCCCTGGATGAAAACACTCCAAACAGCACAGGGGTTTTATGACATCCACTCTTGGCCTCTCCTGACATCCAGTCTTGGCTGCTGCTTCCTACTTCTCCTCAACTGCCAGTGTGTCTTATTCAGAGCTATTTTGAGGTAGGAAAGTTGGTTCGAGGTACACACAGCCCTCAAATTAGTGCCAGAACTAACCAGCTACGAGAAGGGAGAGGTGCTCGTAGCTGCTTTGGTATCTCCCACACCCAGGCTGAGCCACAGACAGATCAAATGTCTAGTTCTGTGAACCAGGCCCATTCAACTCGTTATGTAAGCAGATGTGTATGTTTTATTCTAAATTTGGTGACAGCCATGGTGGGTACCGTTCCACCCGCTTTGCACTTGGTGCAAAGAATCCTAGTGAGTGCGCTGCATGTAATGGGAAACCGGGAAATTAACAGACCTCCTGGGAGCCTCAGCTCTGGACCAGAGAGGGCAGGCAAGTCCTATTTAGTAACATATTAATGGCTTCGACCGAGTCTCTTGTTTTGTATACGAGACATTTTTGTTCTCTGACAAGAGAGAAACACTTGGCTTTCCAGATTGCTCAGTGCAGAGAAAGAAATGCAAAAACCGAGTGAGCAGGGCAGGCGGCTGTGTCTGCAGGACATTGTCTGCAGAATTGATGGTTTGCACAGTATCCCCAGTGAAACTGGTTTTGGTGGTACCATAAGGACAGCCATGTCTCGGGTCTCTCCCAGCTGCACGGGGCAGAAGCAGTGAGAAACTGGAGACCAAAGGCTTGGCTGAACTAGTAGGAGGTTGGGAGGTGTGAGATGGCGCTGCCCCAAGCCATCAAGCTGTTATAAACACAGTAATTTCTTTTCTGAAGGTGTTAAAGACAGTTTATTCAGTATTTCCTAAATCAAGAAGAGTTGTACTGCAAGTATGCCTTACAAATTAAGCAGAAGAGAAAAAGAGCATACATGAGGATGTGGGGGGATCTGTGTGTGTATATATGCGTGTATGTGTGCATGTATGTAGAGTCAGAGCCTGGCATCTCTTACCCACCTCCGGCACGGCCCCTCTGCTGAGAGTGCTCCGAAAGCACTGGATGGAGGAGTGTGCATGTATGTAGAGTCAGAGCCTGGCACAGCCCCTCTGCTGAGAGTGCTCAGAATGTGCTGGATGGAGGGAAAAAGCCAATTTAAGAAGTTCCACTGGCCCTTTGCCTTCAGCCAGTGATTCTTGCCTCTCTCCTTCCGCGCAGTTTCCCCTCCACAGTGCAGAAACTTGCAGAGCTGTGCTTAAACCACGTCTCCAAACCGGTTGAGGTTTACATCTACCATGTCTGTAGTCTCTGGACAG